CCCGGGGCGGGGGGGGGTAAGTGGGACAATCTGCCCCGGCCCCGCAGGGGCCCCCACAAGAATATAGTATTCTATAGTATTGCAACTTTTTTTCTGGAAGGGGTCCCCGAAATTGCCTTGCCCCAGGCCCCCTGAATCCTCTGGGCGGCCCTGGGGGAGTAGTGTGGTTAAAAGTCAGGACTCCTGGGTTCTCTTTCCAGCTGTGGGTGTGGAGTGGGGTCTCAGAGCAAGGGGGTGCGCGTCAGGACTCCTGGGTTCTATTCCCGGGTCAGGGGAGCGGGAGCTAGTGGTTCGAGTAGGGAGGGGGGCTGGGAGTCAGAACCCCTTGGTTCCTTTCCCTGCTCAGGGATGGGAATAGGGGCTAGTGGTTAGAGCAGGCTGCAGGGATGGGCGCCAGGACTCCTGGCTGCAACTCTGCCAACACCTCTATGCATGACGGTAGGCACGTCCCCCCCCCGCCTCAGTTTCCCCACCTGTAGAACGAGGACAGTCAAGCTGCTTCAGGAAGGTTTGCCATGCGCGTGGGATCGTGGTGCTAGGGGGCTGCAAGCCCCCCCAACCCCCCGGTTTCTGGAGGAGAGGGGGAGACCTACATTAGTGCCGCTGCCGCTTTAAGACCCAGTCTGCGTCATTCTGGCCCTGGCTGTTATCCCCGCCCGGCGGCCGAAGGGTTAACAGCGGCTCGCCGGCCGCCGGGCTCTTTAGGGCAGCGAACAGCTGGGAGGGGGGCAGGAGGCGACTCCACCAATCAGGAGCTGGAAGGAAGCAACCCGGGGGGGTGATATTTGGTTTCACGTCTGCCTTCTGCGCCCGAATTGAGGCGGGAGGGTCCACATGCATTATTCCTGTCTGCTTTCCCCTTCTACTCCGTGGGTCCTGCCAAACCGCCCCGCAGGGGGAACAAAACAGCCCATTCAGGGCATTGCCAGGGGACTTGCGACAGCAGGGATTAGACCCATTTATGAAATCATGGCATCAGCAGCGGGCATGAAACTTTAAAGCCCCCGTGACCGGCTAATGCACTACGCAGGGATTAGCTTGGGCGTCAGCAACCGGGGTGCAGGGAGGTGGGCTGGGCGAGCGGCACGCAGGCTGGCTCCCTCGCTGGTGTCAGGCGGGTGACGGGGGTCCTACCTGCCTCGTGGCTTCCACGGGAGTTTGGGCCTTGGCAAGTGAGGCCTAGATGTGTTCCCAAGGCAGGTGGAGCCCTGTAGCGATGAAGCCTTTAGCCTTGCATTTCAGCACAGTTGTTGTGCCCGACCCCAGAGGTGGCTGCATTTCAGTGCTGAGTGAGTGATCTCTGTGCAGCGTCGCTGTGCGGCTATTAAATAGCTGCCGTGCCCCACCCCAGAGATGGCTGCGTTTCAGCGTAGGGCAAGCGATCCTCATGTGTCCTCTTTGCTGTGCACCTGCTAATTAGCTGTCGTGTCCCACCCCAGAACAGGCTGCATTTCCGTGCTAAGCAAGCAATCTCTGTGCAGTGTCACTGTTTGACTGTTAAGCAGCTGCCAGGTCCCACCCGTGAAGTGGCTGCATTTCAGCACTGAGCAAGTGACCCCCCATCCTGTCCCCGCGCCTCACCCCACAAGAGGCTGTATTTCAGCTTTGGCAAGTTCTCTCTACCTAGTTCTGCTATGCAGCTGTTAAACCGCAGTCGTGTCCCACCCCAGAGGTGGCTGCATTGCGTGTGATGCTCCCGGTGACTCATTTTGCTTGTGCGAAGTGTTTTGGGATGGGAAGTGTGACAGTTCCAGTGCAAGGAACTTGGCACGAAGTTGCATTTCAAGAGAGACCGGAATCAGGGCTGCGGCCCACCCTGCTAGCTGTGACAGTTGGGCTGTTCTTGACCGAGATTGCAGAACCACCAACAAAGACGTCGTGTCTCTTCTGGGATTTGCTGGGAGCCCAGCACCTGCTGGCCCCAGGACTTTAGGGGTTTAGTCTGTGCTGGGTGGATACCCGTGCAGTGTGGATCTGACCCATACAGCTCTTTGTTATGGGTCCCATGCTGGCGACAGCAGGTGGTTTAAGGAGTGTCACGGAGTGTGCGGGGACACAAGGCCCTGCACCCCCGGCTTCCTGCGATTCACCATGACTCTCAGCCAGCCAGTAAAGCAGAAGGTTTATTTAGACGACAGGAACACAGTCCAAGACAGGTCTTGCAGGCACAGACAACAGGACCCCCTCAGTTAGGTCCATCTTGGGGTCCCAGGGCACCACAGCCCCCTTGGGGGGTCACAGCCCCATCTGCCTCCCAGCCATTCCACCAGCCAGCTCCTGAAACTCTCCCTTCAGCGACCCCTCCCACAGCCTTTGTTCAGTTTCCTGAGCAAAGGTGTCACCTGGCCTCTAACCCCTTCCTGGGTTCTCATGTTACATGCTCAGGTGTCTTCCCTCAAGGCCAGTCTCCCATCCCCCAATGCAGACCGTCCTAGCCAACCTCCCCTGCCTTCCCAGCCAACACTCCCCACTCAGCATTCAAAGACCACATTAAGAACAGTCCCAGTTCGTCACAAGGAGCTCCCAGTTTGGGGAGATTCTTGCTCCATTTTCCCGGCCTTTGAAATGCAAAAATAACTGGGGACAAGGTCCAGGGTTAAGACAGGCGGCCACATGCACGCAGTGGGCCACATCCCTCGCTGGTGTCAATGGGCGTCGCTCCCTTGGCGTCAATGGGGCCAGATCCCCCGCTGGTGTTGATGGGCGTCACTCCCTTGGCGTCAATGGGGCCAGATCCCCCGCTGGTGTCAATGGGCGTCGCTCCACTGGCGTCAATAGGGCCAGATCCCCCGCTGGTGTCAATGGGCGTCGCTCCACTGGCGTCAATGGGGCCAGATCCCCCGCTGGTGTCAATGGGCGTCGCTCCACTGGCGTCAATAGGGCCAGATCCCCCGCTGGTGTCAATAGGCGTCGCTCCACTGGCGTCAATAGGGCCAGATCCCCCACTGATGTCAATGGGCGTCGCTCCCTTGGCGTCAATGGGGCCAGATCCCCCACTGGTGTCAATGGGCGTCACTCCATTGTCGTCAATAGGGCCAGATCCCCCGCTGGTGTCGATGGGCGTCGCTCCCTTGGCGTCAATAGGGCCAGATCCCCCGCTGGTGTCGATGGGCGTCGCTCCCTTGGCGTCAATGGGGCCAGATCCCCCGCTGGTGTCAATGGGCGTCGCTCCCTTGGCATCAATAGGGCCAGATCCCCCGCTGGTGTCGATGGGCGTCGCTCCCTTGGCGTCAATGGGGCCAGATCCCCCGTTGGTGTCAATGGGCATCGCTCCCTTGGCGTCAATGGGGCCAGATCCCCCGCTGGTGTCAATGGGCGTGGCTCTGTTCTCAATGAAGCTTGGCTGACTTGCACCCACTGAGGATCTGGCCCAGCATCTCATGCTCTGTTCACCCTGGGGTGCCAAAGGAGTTAGCTGAGCAGGGACGACCCCATGAGCGGTAACTGGCCAAGCCCTATACGCCCATCCCCGCTGGGCCTCCACGCTCCTGCCCACAGGGGACCCTTTCTCCGGGTAAGCCGGGCCTCTGGTGTCCCTGACCTATCAAGGCCATGGCCTCTCCGCTGTGGCTGCCAGCGCAGGGGCTGGCTAGCACCGATCACAGGGGGGACAAGCTGAGGCCCCCCAGGTTTGTTCCACATGCAGGCTGTCAAGCAGCCCTGGGCTCGGAACAATCCCGTATCCCCTATTAGCAGCCCAGCATGAACGGCTCCACGACCCGCTCTCGATCCAAAGGGCATGTGCCCTGGGCACATAGGGAGACAGTGGCAGAGCCAGGAATGGAACTCAGGAGTCCTGGTTCCCAGGCCTACCCTGCTGTAACCACTAGACCCCACTCTCCTCCTGGAGCTGAGGATAGGACCCAGGAGTCCTGGCTCCTAGCCCCGCCCCCCCGCTCTAATCACTAGTCGTCGTCCCCCCCCGACCCAGGAATCCTGACTCCCAGCCCCCTGCTCTAACCACTAGCCCCCATTTCCCTCCCAGAGCTGGGGATAGGACCCAGGAGTCCTGGCTCCTAGCCCCTCCCCGCTCTAACCACTACCGCCCCCCCAAACTGGGGATAGGACCCAGGAATCCTGGCTCCCAGCCCCCCTGCTCTAACCACTAGCCCCCATTCCCCTCCCAGAGCTGGGGATAGGACCCAGGAGTCCTGGCTCCTAGCCCACCCCCCGCTCTAACCACTACCGCCCCCCCAAACTGGGGATAGGACCCAGGAATCCTGGCTCCCAGCCCCCCTGCTTTAACCACTAGTCCCCACTCCCCTCCCCTCCCAGAGCTGGGGATAGGACCCAGGAGTCCTGGCTCCCGTTCCTTTGTTAACTGTCCCTGGCAGCGGAGAGCTCCTAGCAGAATGGGAAAGGCTGCAGCCTCTCAGAGGGGCCCAGGACTCCTGGGTTCCACATGCCCCCCCCCCCCCGAAGAGCCCGAACGCCAGCGGGTGCAGAGGGGAGAAGCGGCGGGGGCGGAGGGAAGGGGTTTGGGGGCGGAGGAAACAATCTCCGTGGGAGGCGACGGCAACCAGCGCATTGTGACATGCCCTTGTGCTGGCGGCGTTGCTTTTCCCGGAGCCTGGCAGGCAGGGATCGCGCTGTCCCAGGCGGGAGCGGAGCCCCGCGGTGCCCGCGGGCCATGCAGCGCCGGGCCGCGCCGCCCAGCCCCAGCGCCCGGGGAGGGGCCCGGAGCCGCTGAGACCCCAGCGCTGGAGCCTGGCATGCGGGGTCCCCCCAGCCCCGGGGCTTAGCGGGGGGCACCGCCATGCGGGGGGCCCGGGATGGGGGGCCGGCGCCGTGGCGGGCGCTGTGCCAGGACAGCCGAGACCCCGAGCGCCAGAAGCACTGGGCCGAGCTCTTCGACCAGCTGGACACCAACAAGGACGGGCGGGTGGACATCAACGAGCTGCGGGAGGGCCTGGCGCGGATGGGCATGAATGCCAGCTCCCAAGCTGAACAGGTGAGCCGGGGAGGGGCCCCCGCCGCCGGGGGAGCCAGGGGGCTGAGGGGGCCTCCTCGCTGGCCGGGAGTGTCACAGCTTCACTGTCCAGTGGGGAAACTGAGGCACGGAGTAAGGGGACTTGCCCAGGGTCGTGCAGTGAATCAGTGGCAGAGCTGGGAATAGAACCCAGGAGTTCTGGCTCCCAGCCCCCATTG